CGTTATGACGGCATTTCGTAAAGGTTTCCATCCACTGCTGAATTGACCGCGCGCCACTAAATTCAAAACTCATTCTTGGAAACAAATGCATGCATATGTGTGTTGAATCTATCTAAGATCGATAATGAAAGATTCCAAAACAAGCTCCTTTGGCCTAGGTCGGCCCCACTGTTTTCTCAAAACATCAATGAATTTACCACTACGCCTCATACAAACTACTGGACCAAACGAATTCTCTTCCGATACCTCCGCTCCTCCGTCTTCCCCCAAGCCCTCAAGAATCCTATCGGAAGAATCCTTCATAGTGCGCAAAGATATCTTTCCTTCACTGACCTCTTCGTCAAACCTACGGACAATAATGTCTCCTTCCCAAACGCAACTTCCCCCTCCCCCTCCAACACTAAAATGAATTCTCCTCGGCCCCTCATCGCCACCATCAGACGATATAGCCAGATCAGCGTACTCGGGATAAGGGCATCCTTGAAGCTCCTTTGTCCATATCAATCTGCTCTCAACGGCATATCCATTGAAGCGGACCCAATGCACCATCAATGTAGCAGCAGATCCCTGATGACCAATCTTCCCTATGGAGGCTATAATGAGGCCATCACCAACACATTCCATCGCGAAACCCACGGCACTACCAGCACTGCGGGGGGAGAGATCAAGTTCGCCGTAACTCGTAGTACGACGACTAAGTAGATTGACCGAATACAGGACCAAGTCGAGTTGTGAAAACACAAATAGGCTGTCAGTGGTTGGGTTGTAGGCGAACGAGTATTTACCAGAGCGTATAGCGTTGCTTATACAGAATCGCATAGGAAGTGACGAAGGTGTGGTATGAACGAATACGCATGAGCCGTCCTTATTCACCACGTAGCTCGCCATATAAACATCTTCTCCCCGTTTAAACAAGTACCATCCGTCGGACTCCTCCTGAATTGTCATTGTCGAGTCCTTCTTAACCTTCTCGAGTACAACCGACCGCTTGCCGATATATTCCAAAACTACTCCCAGAATGCCCACCGACAAGTCCAGTAGTGAATTCTCTTGCCAGAGTCTGCTCGCAATAGCCAACTCTAGCGGAAACACGCTTAGTTCACTATTACTACTGCGCCGTGACAGGAACATTCAGAAGACAAAGCAACTGACGCGTGAAAACACATAAACTACACGAGCAACTAACCAATAACGATAGGAACAATTTTCTTCATCACAGGCTCGACTCGATGAATGAACGACGAGTGTACTCACAGGTTCGACCAACGGGTGCCTCAGCAACAACCAGGAGCTCATCAGCTATCTCTTGAAAGATGACCTCTTCTCACCAGGAAAGCGAACGTATGTAACGTGTGCACAGAACCAACGAGAACGAACCAGTCTCAGAACCACCATAAGATTTCTAGTTGACTTCAACTCGACTCGCCAAATCGTCCCGGAGTGAGGATACTCCAACGTATGAACTTCGCAGGGAACTACACAGTGAACACAAACGCATCTTCAAAACATGAGCAACGCCCCACAGTTATCTCATTTTTAAATATCCCACTCCTGGTCACGTGGGTCTGGTAGGGCGGTTCGGTACGAACCGACCCTAGAAGTATCGATGAGGGAGAGACATTCAGAAACCAGAGTCTGAGCGACACTCAGTGAGTGTGCCAACAACAGTGCGTGTCTGCACTCTCTCCGGTACTTGCTCCCGGGTGGTGGGATTGGGATAAAACACAGAAGTTCCTTCAGCCCGTGACCACGCTATGACATACGGAACGCGGGGAAGATCCGCTCACCCTCTCTGCAGTGCGAATTGGGGGCGGAGCGACGCGACCATTCGCATTGGTGTTTAACCTAGGTTAACAAGTTAACCTCTAGTAACTTGAATAGACTTCCCAGAGAGTAGCTTCATCCTAGAAATTGGGAGCACCTCACAAACGACTACCCGTGACGAATACTCATCTCCCTCGCCAACACAACATATTGAGAAGTTAAGTCTACCACAATTCGAAGACCAGAAGCAACGATGAACTCAACAGTGACCACCCTTTCCCATCTCGACACCGTCCGACAGGGTGGAGGTCTACTAGCAAACTAGATAGGACATACCCCACAAGTCAACACAACTCCAGACAAATCGCGTTCATCTTGCGAGACGAAGTGTTTTGGTAGTAGTAGGAGACACTGCCAAGAGAAGCAGTGTGTACAATTATGCACGACATACGCTGTATGCCGAACAGAGACGAAAATGAAACCCTCATCACAGGCTGGACCAGAACGGCTAAAACAAACATCAACTCAAATGACGAACAGAAGCTGAGCGATGATGTTAGCCGCGATGAAAAGTGAAGGGGAACGAAAACCATGAGGGTAGGACTGGCCAGCTAGACGTTACGAATGACCTCAACGACGCCGGAGAGCGACAGAACTTTGGACAAGTCGTGGTCGTCGAGAACAGTTACACTCAAACAAACGTGACAAGGCCCAACCTCGTCGCCTAGATTGATAACATAGGCTCGTTTATTGAGCCGGGAGAGGATAATATCAACATCGCTCCGCTCATAGACCTCAGCATACACCATTGAGTGAGAAAAGTCTTTGCTTCTTCGTACCGTCACCGACCTCAGGTTCACACCAAGAGACTTCAAGGTCTCGCCAAACGCTCTCGCTCCGACCCGCGCAGGCAGGGGGCCGAGCTTGACCAAGATCGGCGGGGCGCGATCAGCGGCAGTAGTAGTGGATGGAGCGGTCACTGCTGGTCGGCGGAGTATCGCCTCAAGGACCTCGGTCAAGTCCGAGCGATCCACTTCTGAGTCTCGTAGGTATCGCGGTGGGTCCAGACGAGCAAGTAGTGAGCGTGATATAGGAGATGCTGCAACCATAGGAATAATGAACTAACCTGTGAAAAATCGGGAAATCTCACCCAACGTGGACATGTATTACGCGGATGATGGAGATGGAGAACGCAAAAATCTGCATTGAAAAAACGCAAGAGCGCAAGATCAGCACTGGCCACAGATTTTTTGCAGCGACATAATTCACGCCGTAAATGGGCAACTTGAACTTGAAGTCGGCTTTGCATATGGAAGGAACCGAAGTGACATATCAAAAGGGCGATCCACTGTAAGCAGCGGCCATCACTGAGCATCGGGAGTATGCTGGGTTGTCTCTCAGAGTACTCAAAGAGTTTGCCCTCCACCAACACGGTCACGGTAAGACACGTACCGCTCAGTCGCGCTACAATAGAGCGTATGTTTTCAATAATTATCATACCGCACTCAGGCTCGCAAGCCACCATTGTGAATGAGAAAGGTCAACTCCAGTGGAAACACCCACATGCTCACAGACGTAGCGAAGAGGTATAACCGTACGCTTCTCACTCAATCACTAGGCCTGATAACCAACAGAATGCTTTACGTAGGCCCAATGGATATTGGATCATCCCGAGCCAAAGGAGCTTCCGTTGAAATACGAGCTCTTCAACGACGCGCCTCAGCAATATAGAGTCATCAAGTGGCCGCTTGACCGTAGGTAGCTCATGACAGTACACATTTTAAAGGCCCTGTGCTACAAGTTGTAGCCTACAACTGCGTGGATAACAACAAGTCATGACGTTGACTGCGTCATATTCTCATTGCTATCGCTGCGATCATGAGCCTCCCATCGGACTGAGTCTCGCGACGAACGGATTGGGCCACTAGCGTTGTGGCCCTGGGAGGAATTAATTGCGATATATTTTCAGCGACGGAAAGGCGTTATCTCAGAACTCCTTAAGATAGCACACAACCGTATTCCCAAGAATATAATGAATGGATCACTCGCTGTGACTTTTGCACGCAAGATTGAGTTATGAAATCTTGCACCTGTTCAGCTCTGGATCCGCACAATTGCAGTCCTCACAATAGAGTGAGCTTCAAAGCATCGTCGATTGGCAATGTGGAGCTGATGATATCTCACATGTTCATCGATCCCAATGTGCAACCCACTAGATTCTTCTGGCAGTTTCCGCGACGAGTTCGAGTGGTGAGACGTGTAAAGTGCAGTTGTCAACTTCCTTCGAGTTGAAACCGAGTTCGCGGAACACGATTCCACTCTCATCGTTCAGCAACAGTCGATCACTGCCAGAAAACTGCATATAACTACAGAGTGCAAGACCCCTAAACTTAGCGTTGATCAAGTTAGATAGGGTTGGTTATTTCCCTCTCAGGCGAACGGACTACCTGTCGTTAACTCAGGTAAAGTTACTGCTCGGGTTCCCTTCCGAGTGCTCTCATAAGCAATGTCCATTAGGCATGATACGGTAAACTTGTAACGACCTGCTCAGGCGTCTTTTGCTTGTGAATGTATGTGATAGGGCCTCGTTAGTACTCGTGCACGCGGGTGACCAGTATGCGCTTGCGTGCGGTCTGTAACGCTGCGTGAAAGAGCGAAATATTCACCAGGCATGTGACCGATTCTCCTACTGCCCTGTCTCCAAGACAGGTCAGTCAAAGGAACTCGTTGCACGATACAGCTTCCACCACTGGGGTTGAGTTATTCCGATCGATAGGCGCGCTGCAGAGGGGGAGTGGCACTGTGAGATCAATGTGGTGCTCTACTCACAGTCCTGTACACTGCGTTCTGAACGTAGTTTCAAATACGAAGTCAGGTTTGAAAATAAGTATTTTATGCAGCTTTAGCCTTAGCCCTTCAACCCTCGATTTCATATCACAGTAATGCTTCACCTCCTCGTCACCCTCTGTGTGATAATCTGCGGTCATGGTGAAAACAACATACTCGTATCTTCAAGTGCAGCTTTCGAGTGGGTCGGGCCGTGTAACGATGTTCGATCGAACTGAGTATATCTCTCTCACGGGATTTGTAAAACTGCTCAGTTGTTTTCAGATCACGCACCGCTGCAGAGGCGCCATATGCTCTCCCGACAGGAGGTTAGTCAAATCACCCTCAAATCGGCAAGTCTCGCTCAGTCGCTCGCTTTTTTCTAGGGTTTTACATGAAGCCAACTGGTGTGTGTAAATACACGGATGGTGAGATCACCAATTGTTCTTGTCGTCTTTCGATGCCAGCTTTGTTGGTCCGGGTGAGTGTACTGTTGTGATTCGCGACATCTGTACTCAGTGGTTTCAGGACCAACAAGTTCTGGGTTCGGTCTGTGCACCTAGGCCTTATCTGGATAAGTTCTGTCAAAGCGGCCCTGCAGGCTTTCACACCAAGGCAATTGATGGATTATGTTTCGTCGATTGCAAGAAGGTGGGGACTCTGTCGTAACTTATAGTTTCTTCATTCGGTCACACTAGAAGAATTTGACACTATTACTGTACCTCGACGCCACGGCGACCTCCATTGCATGATGAAACTTCCGCCTCGTGATGAGGCCGATCGAGCTGGATTGAGGGTTTTGTATAACCCCTGAGGGACTTCCCTCAATCCTCGCTGTTGGGCTCGCTAACCGTGCAGAATTGGATGCGTCGCCAGTGATTCCTGGTTACTGAGGCGCATGTACCAGTCATTGGTACTTGCGCCTGAAACCGTCTAAAAACCTGGAACAAGTTCACTTGTTGGCTCTCCTTCAGGATAACAAATGCCCGTCGATGGGATTTTGCGAGTCTTCTGAGCACGTTCCAGGAGCCTGCTTCTACCCTCAATAGTTCGTGTAGAAGCAGCAGCTCTGAGGCTTATTTTTTCGCAACTCTTCGACATATGAGGTTTTTTATTTTTGTGTCAACGAGGTCCTGTCGTGTCGAGTCTTTATCTCAAGTCCTACTCCATTTGTCTCGCTGCAGCAACAAGTCGTATACTCTTCTGGTAATATGTCCGTCAATCATGATGCGAGAGTCTTTCTGATTTTCCATTCATGTTGAGAGGTTTGCGTGTCAGAAGTTAAGACAGTCTCAAGTGAGCGCTGGCGAACGACGTCAACTTGACGCCGTCAAGGTACCTGTTAGTCGAAGTGTGGCGGTAAGCTCTAGTCCCCGAGATAATACCCACGAAACCGCGAAGGGATAATGGATTATATAACATCACGAGGAAACACGCCGCGTTTAAATTTACCCCAGGAACCGCGGAATATTTACGGGATTGTACCCACTGCATAAACCAGGCGTCAACTATTATAATTTCTTGGGTTATCGCCCAAACATTGATCAAAATCGATCAATCGTATGTGGCGACATGTATGTGATTTATTATATGAAATCGTAGGGATAACAACCTGCTAATAATAGAACTAAATACACGACAAGTGAGTTGAGATAGGCTTGTACGAGGGCGGAATACGTCACTTTGTAACTATGGTTACGAAGTACGAATGGGCTGCTACTAGCTCTAGCTTGCCGCACTTTAGCATGCAGGAACAATTGTGTTCGGACCGAAATTTGGGGGACAAGCGTGGCACGATGTCAAGCCACTGGCACAACAAAGTCAAATCTTGTCATTCTTGCATTTCCCCAACACAACGCTTACTGGTTGTCTGTGACTGCCCAAGGTTGAATCGTCGGTCATTTTCATTTACGAAAAGCTACTTTCGGTACATGTCTGTCGTCCAAGCCACTACTGCTGCCTCAAAGGTCGCTAATCGCTTCATCCCTCTCCTTGATAGAGTCCTTGTGCAGAAACTTCGGTGAGAATTTTCGACTGGTGTCAGTGATTGCAATATCATCGTAGCGTAAGGAGCGTTATGATCTCCTGAATCCTTCGAATTCGGGCCCTCATTTTCACCGACATCGTCATAGCTGGAAATATTAGCCTGGAATAACTCTCTGATTTTCGAGCTAGACTCAATTCACCTGGTGGGTGTTTTAGTATCATATTCCTAGCAGGTGTGCCGAGTTGTCAGCAACATAATCGTCTAGCTTCCTTGGGTATCATAAGACAGTCTTATTGGTATTGTGTCGTTTCTTTAGTGTCGAGTCGAAGACGGCGACTGGAGTGTTCTTGCCTGAAGCTGCTAAGCCCACGATCAACCAGGCTGTTGTGATGGCTGTGGGAAGCGGTAGAGTACTCAATGATGGCACCAAGGTGGGGGTGGATGGTCTCAGTCTCTGACTTTCCGTATTGTGACTTGCAGATTCCAATCTCGGTCCAGCCTGGCGATAAGGTTATCATTCCCGAGTTCGGCGGTATGAATTTGAAATTGGACGGTGAAGACTTCCAGGTTTTCCGTGATGACGATATTGTGGGTAAAATCGTCTCCCCAACAGCAGCTGCCGAGACCGAAGGGAGCTCGTGAGATTGCTCAAGTTTCCGTTGTTGAGATTACCTCAATGAGATAGACACTTGAATGCCCCCCGTTTCTTTTTTTTTAATTTCATTGAGCTCGTCAATCTCATATGGCCCATATGAAAAACAACTTCCCATATGATATGGGAAGTTGTTTTTCGCTCGGGTATGTTAGATGGGTGGTGCTGTGTTGTTTTCGAGGGTATGTCCATGCTAATTCAAATATTTTGATGCTTTTTGTAGATAATCTCAGGTATCCGGGTATCACGTCCGTTTAAGGGTGAGCGTTACGTCCGTTGATAGTGTCTATCGCATACTCCTTTGTTTCGGTGAGGCTCCTTGGGTTCTATCTAGAGCGTTTGCTGAATACCGATGATCGTTTGGTGACATTGAAATGATGCGGTATCGTCTTTGTTCAGCCTGGTGGAGCACGTGTTTTTCTTTTCCGCTCATAAGCTTGCATGGATTCATGAGATTGCCCTCTGGAAGTTCCAGGATGGTGGTCGTTGTAATATTGCTAGCCTGCTTTGGTCTCCATCTCATTTCACCCGAATGGCTCAGCGAGATTGTAGAAGCTCGGCGTGGCAATGGACAGGATGGACTCGAGTTTATTCGAAATTGTGGTATGGCCCTTTTGCTCGGCAGCGATCGCCGATAGTACAGTTCAAAGTGGCGGTGGGATAAACTTGAATGTTTATTTGCCGCATAGCTGAGCATAAGCTGAACAGTGAAAAAATTCATGCTCTTGATATAGAGCATTCGCGGCTGAGTTTTCTCATTATGGATTTGTAGTTTACAAAGTTTGTAGTAATATCTCTTGCTTTTTTAGTCGTATGGACTCGCGTCATATCGAGTTGATGACGGCGCTCAAGATGAATTCCCTGCGACAGGTGATGTATCTGAGTTCAGGTAATAAAATGCTTGATAGTCTGTCACTGAATGCTCAGGACTAGGCACTCAGTAGCATGTGCATGCATACAATCAAACGAGGTGAATCCAAAATTACCGCGTTGGACTCCCTACATCATCCCGCACCATTCTATGGTGTTGGGCGTCGGTAACTGGACTCACACGAGATACGCCCGCATTGCATGGACTGCAGCAATGCAATGCAAAAGCACAGGCAAGCACGCAATAGTGATATACTCACAAGAGAGTACGTTTTAAAAAGGTACATATCGTCACCATTGGTCACTGATGGTGAGTGACTCACCCAGGAGAGAACCATGCACCATCAGAATGTCCTCTCGAGACCGTAACCGGCGAGAAATATCAATATACCGATGATATGTCACATGCCCCTCTGGATTACCCAGTGAACACCTCAGGAGCCAACTTGGTGCCATCAAGGCTTTCCACCCACTCCGTGTAGCTTGGGGATCGTCTCACTTGTCGGCGCTTCTAAGATTGCGCCCAGCAGGATCAACGTGACGTTCGGAACAACTTCCTGAAATTAGCAGAGCTTTGCTGCCCTTCCGAGACTTGGACATCTTGAGTCGAGAAGCTTGGATGCCAAGCTTATCGGCTGATATGATATCTTGATTGAATTGAGTCAATCATGAACCAGGGATCGGGAAGACTCTCTCCACATACCAATTTTCATGTTCATTAGAAATTCTAATATACTCTGATTTGGAATATATGAATGAGATGAGGCGGTTCACCTCACGCGAGCGCGATGAAGATTGCTGCTCCTTTCGGAATCGCGATGTCTACCATGAGAGTCTCGATGATACGTATTTGCTCGATATCTATTATACTTCCAAACTTAAGTATACACTAGGTTACGGAGTACTGTATCATATGAGCATAATCAGGGAAAGGTACCACGAGTGAAGTCTGTGTTGCATGAGCAGCAGACAGGGCATTCACATCACAGCTCCGTCAGCTACTCTCGGTATTTTACAGAGAGAATGCGGACGGATCAAAACCATCACTGATAAGATACTGTAGTACAACGTAACGTCGTAATGACTACTGACTCCGAGAGGTGATGTCGCCATTCTAAGTACTTTTTACCGGAGCGAGATACAGAATCAAATGAGTTTAGAATCGAAGAGCTACGAAAAACATTGTTCATTCATCTGAGTAGGCTGGTCGTAGACTGAGCCACCGAACCAATATACCAGTCGTTCTTGCTGAGGCCCTCAGCGAGAACGACTCAGCCTGAGGGGTTATACGTCCTCTCAAAAAGCGAGTAGATGAGATAGGGAAAAGGAGTCGTAGTCTTCAGTCTAGTCAAAGCGAGAATAACAGCGTCGACAACGAGCGGGAATGCATCTGGCCTCAGAGGTGGGACCAGGGCTTATAGCGTATGATCCGAAGAAGAGGATAGATCGGCCTTGGAATTGAGCAACTATTATGGGCTGAACCCAATAGATAAATGTCAGTTTGGTCAGATCGCCTGTTGCAATCTCCGCTTCCTCGAGGCGACTGCTGATTCCTCGATACCAGTAATCAACTCCTTCGCATGTGTTCTCGAAATCGACGGTGAAAAACCCAAGAATGCCCTTTAGGGGGTAGACCGGCGGGTCCCTGAAGGGTGCCTGGCCCGGGACATCGAACTCGAGCCCGACTTGTGAATCGGCGACTACGTAGGTCAATTTGTAGCCCGGCGCTTCGTGAACGTATCTACCATCAAGCTGAGCTACAGCTACCAGAACATGGCAGGCCATCAACAAGGTCAGTAGCAGTGCCATCATTATTGGAAGGGAGTAGAGTCTGAAGGGTCAGTGAAACTGTCAAACAACCCAAACCGATATCGGGAGGACGTTGTGAGGAGCAACCATAATGATGTTAGTAGCATCATACTACGCTACGGTTCGACCGAGCTACATGTCTGATACCGGAATGCGACGATTCGAACCCATAAAAGCCCAAATGGCATGCTGAATCGAGGATCGCCAATCCCCTGATCGATAGCTATTATAAATGCATGCAGGAAGAAGATCTTGCGTGACCCCAGTGGGATCACGCCATGAGGATCACGCGTCTTCCTGAAAAACGGATTTTCGACTAGGATAACACCACACTGAATATAATAGCAGGGAATGCCTTAAGAGAGGCCTGATTACACTTAGTCGAGCATCTATTCAAACTCAATACCTGCGAAAGCGTACATTCCTAACACTCCGTGCTCAGGTGCCTGTATACGTGAGTACGTAGGAACATGGATCGTGTCACGCACTCACATACTCACGGTGGTAGGAGGATCAATTTGCTCCCGTGGCCAGTCTGTTTGCGGTATTATGTTGATTGTGCGCTATATTTAGATTGAATTCGTTAGGTTACTATTAGCTACATTTGCTGCCCGACTGTGCTGCTCTGGTTCTACCTGTGCGAATTGGACAGATAGACACTGTCTATTAGACAGTATGTGGCTGACACGGATGTGCTAACTTATAGCACTTATACTGTCCCAACGCATCACTCAAGAAGGGGGACGGACAACTAGAGAGCGAAGTCCGTAGCCCGTATCCCCCCGGGCGGGAGGGTGGGCGAAAACGACTACTCCCTGACGGTCGTTAGAGACCTCAGCGCGCGGGTCGACTTCGGCCACCGCGTGAGGCGGCAGGGTGACCTCAGCAACTGCACATGCGTGCGGGTGTCCCCCGGACCCCGAGAGTTTTACTTCGTTACACACCTATACCGTCCAAAAGAATGGGAAAAAACTACAGAAATGCAAAAAAATACCCAAAAACTAGCAATAATTGGCGAAAATGCACCTCAGCTTTGAGACCCCCTATCTTAATAAGTTCACTATTGAGAAAGGATCGCCCTGGATACAGTCTCCTTTTCTTCCATTGCCATGCGAATGCGGTAATTCACTGCCAATTTGGTGTCGTGGTAAATCCAAGCGCGTGAGATTCTCACTTAGGCTGGCGAGCCTCTAACGGGTTGCTTCCTCATCGAGCCAATTCAAGGGGATAAAACTACTTTTAAAGAAGTGTTATCCGCCAGAATTGCCCGAGGGAAGGCAAAGAAGTTGTTTGCCTCCAATCGGGAGGCAAAGAAATCATAAAGAAATCATCAAGAAATCTATCATGAAATTGATGTCCTTATTCCTGAGATTGATTTCCTTATTTGACCGCTACTAATGCATTGATGCCGCTTTCCGCGAGTGCGACTTTCTTACTCGCAGAATAGATTTCTGGCAGGTATATCCTCGTCCGCGTATCTTGAAAGCCCATTAGGACACGGATGCGTATCTTGGTGACAAAATGGATCACGGATCGACGTAATCTCTCAAGACGTCTGAAAATTTCTTAACTCTTTCATCTTTGAATCACGGATCAAGTTTTTTCTCGAGAATCATGTATAAGGGTCAGAAACAAGGATCAAAAACGATGATCACACGAGATCTAGATCACAGAACAGGGATCAATGCCCGAGTTCAGGGATCAGATCAACAGTCAAGGATCGGGGTTATGGTGGATTCCCGTACTCTGTCGTTTGAGTGGAAACTAAATTATACACGTTTGACATGATAGCTCATGAGCCATAGGTGAAGCAGTGAAGCATTAATGAACTCTAACCAGCCAAACAGAAAGAGGGAGGGAGAGCGGCAGCCTGATGGTACTGCCGTAGCCTGTTGCTATCCAACCCCGCAGATCGAGTAATAACTCTGTACCTCTGGGGGATGTCGTAGAGCGGGCTACTACATCGGATGTAGTACATCCAGTAACCGACTGATCAACTCGGATACGACCATTCTCAAGTTCTACGATCGCCATTTCGTGGGCATTGCAACCACAAAGTGCAGGATATCGACAGCACAGCTCTGGTTCCTCCCGATTCTATTGCAATCCGTTCCAAAGACGATATGGTACATCTCGACCAAGGCCCTTAGTCTAAGGGTTGGCTGAACCAGTCTGTCCTGATTTAGTCGTCTTAGTCTGATCATCAGACTCTGATGGCATCTTTCCCAACGACGGGTTGCTCCTGGGTCTGGTCGGTGGGCCACCGACGGTGGCTTCTCGGGACCTCTTCTGAGACTACGAGACAGACTGAAAATGTTCAACTTCGAGCAGCCCAAGACCGAGACAGAATGCTAGTATCTACACGCTAAGTAGGAACAAGCAAGTCATATACCCGCTTTCTGTGAAGAGTCTGCTCACATGCGACAATTCACCCAGTCCGGTCTCCCTTCTGGCCTCCTCAAGGATCATAAACTTCTTCCGATCTGTACTCTATATTGTACGCTACCTCCCACAGTGTGGGAGTAGATAATGCATGAAGATATGCTGGAAGATATGTAATAGTTTCGTGAAGATGAGGAAGCAGGCCGAGATACCGAGGATGGTTTATAGTGATATGAGTATCTCTTCGCTATTGTGATCATTCTACATAGAGTTGCATTCTCCTCAGTGGTTCTTTCTTCCTCTGTTGCACCTACCCACTCGGGTTCTGGATCACGTCCGTCACCATTCATTTTACTCCTATCGACGAACTTGCGTTCTCCAGTGACTCAGGGCACGAGGACTACTACTCAGTCAAAGAGATGTCTACCGGATCAAGGATCACGGATCAAGTTCTAGAACTGCGTGGTACACCGGTGTACGTTCTCCAGTCCGACCTGGCCGGTGCTCGAAGACGACCCGTGCATCGGCAGACCTATGCCGTCATATGACTTCCTCTTCCCTGCTCGCTTCAATCACTGGGCAGGGAAAGAATTCACGGGTCCCTTGTTGCAGATGTCCTGGCGTAGATGGGTCCTGAGACAGGACTCCTGCCGCTCCCCCCGCGGCGCGAAGAATCGACTGTCATATTATTACAGGTAGCTTGAGCCAGATAGCTACGCATCATGGCGGGTTGAAACTGAATGTGAAGGTCTACGATCATCACGGCTTCGCCGCCGCATGTCACGTTATTGATGCACATCGCGGAGTACTCCGCTCCCGGCACTCGAGATGAGACGATTCTAGCATGGAAGCTATGGATTTCGCGACGCCTTCCTCACGTGTCGAGTCTTATGCTTTCCTACCCTACCGATTGGCTTAACAGAAATCCTTAGGGCGCGCGCTTTTTACAAAAGTTGCTCCTATTTGGGCTGTATTGGAATCGTCAGCAGTAGCATGCAGCTTCCTCATTCAAGCTTGGTAAGGGTGGTTCTTTTCGCTGCTGTAACAGGCGTTAATAGGCTTCGAAGGAGAGGGGGTGGGGAGGGTCATCCTGAACTTGGACGTGATGATCCGTAGATTGGGTGGATGAGGGTGCAGAGAGGCGTAGCTGTTTGCGGTGTTCAGCGACGATAATTATATGGGATTGGTCGTCGCAAGCTATCTGATCGAGTATAGTTTCTATTCACCTCCCTAAATGCCAGCAACTACTATCGCTTACACTCGTCACGATGATGATGACTGGACTGACATCACCGAGCCCATCACTGAAGCGTGTTCCTCTATGGGTTTGGGCCAACTCGTTCATGGCGAGGACTACAGCCCTTTTGAGGCGATGAGCGCTATTGAGCTTATGCAGCCCAAGATGGACGTTGGCTTGCAAACTCCTGCCAACCTCGAGAAGGTCATCGATACGATCGGCGACCTCAGTGACGCAGATGCAAAGTATGTGGCTGACGGCATGCTTGCTATGATGTATTTGTATTTTAATGGTAACACGACGTTGCAGACGGTCTGGTCCTGTTTGTTGTGTCATCACTTGGACGCGGTTCGCCACGCTGGTCTGAAGTACTTCCTCAATTTGGCGTTGAGATGCTCTGGGCTGGCTCGAGATATCATGCTCGAATCTGACGTTATCGCTGATGAAGACGCGCCTCTGGCTCTGTTGGGAGCCGATTTGGAGCCCAAGAAGCTCCCTGCAGTGACCGATTGCCTGGGTGGGAGAATAGCGCTTCTTGAAGAGCTGGAGGAAATGTTAGAGTGTGTTAAGAACAGCAAGAATGAGGGTTGCAAGAAGACTGTGGTCGACGAGGTGTTGGATGCTCTGCAAAGGGCTGGTCATGATGGGGTGTTGGTAGATGAGGAGGAAAGGAGGAAGCAGCTTGATAGACTGTTTGATGCCAGTATTAATAATAATGACATGCCTCCAGGTGAGGATAGAACTTGTGCGGGTGTATTTTAGGAGGGTTGGGAATTATTGGTTGGTGTTAGGACCGCCCCGCCAAGTACCTTCGTTGAGTCGTGAAGATGCATATTCGAGCATGGACTCATTGCTGACTGATATCGGCTATGCTTTCGAAGGTT